GCCGCAGAGCAGCTGGGCCCGTGAGCCATGGCCGCAGAGCCTGCGCATCCAGAGCCTGTGCTCCGCAACGGGAGAGGCCACAGCAGTGAGAGGCCTGCGTACGGCAAAAACAAAAACACAAAAAACCAAACTACTCCATGTAACTGGATTAAGGCTGATTACATGTATTGTTAATTATTAAACACTTAGTACACTTATTCTTCACCAATTATCAATAAACCTACCTAACCTCACCCCCACGCATCAAACTGTAAATTGGAAGTTAATGATCTAGCTTTCATTTGCCCCACTCAGAATATTACCTAGCATAGTAGTCCCTCCCTATCCGTGGTTTGCTTTCCATGCTTTTGGTTACCCAGGGTCAACCATGGTCCAAAAATATCAAGTGGAAAATCCCAGAAATAAACAATTCATAGGTTTTCAATTGCGCGCCATCTGAGTAGCATGGCCCAATCTTGCACTGTCCCACCTGGGACGGGACTCAACCCTTTGTGCAGCGCGTATCCCGCCCATTAGTCACTCAGCAGCCAGCTGGCTATCAGATCAGCTATCACAGTCTGGCAGTGCTGGAGTTCAAGGGACCCTTATTTTATTTAATAATTGCCCCAAAGTGCAAGAGTAGTGATGCTGGCAATTTAGATATGCCAAAGAGAAGCTGTAAAGTGCTTCCTTTAAGTGAAAAGGTAAAAATTCCTGACTTAATAAGGAAAAAAATTGTGTGCTGAGGTTAAGATCTACAGTACGAACACTGAAAATTGTGAAGGAAAAAGAAATTCGTGCTAGTTTTTCTGTCGCACCTCAAAGTGCAAAAGTTATAGCCACAGTGTTTGATAAACGATTAGTTAAGATGGAAAAGGCATTAAATTTGTACAATAAGGTACTTTGAGACCACATTCACATAACTCCTATTATGGTATATTGTTATAATTGTCATATCTTATTATTATTGTTAATGTCTTACTGTGCCTAATGTATAAACTCTATCCTAGGTATGTATGTATAGGAAAAAATTACATAGGAGTTATGGCACTATCCGCAGCTTCAGGCATCCACTGTGGGAATGTATCCCCCACAGACAAGAGAGGACCGCTGTAATATGACTTGTGGCCATACAGTGAATTTGGGAAAACACCTGATCTATGGTTTTTTATCTTGAGCTGTAATCTCGCGATTTCACGAAAAACTTAAAACTACGTTAACAAATTAAAAACCTCCACAATGACAATCAAACACACTCTCAACATTCTAAACTTCAAAGAACAGTATGCTAAGAGTGTCCGTGACTGAAAATACTAAAATTTACGGTCATTTTAGGATCCCAAGCCACTCTTTTGTAGGAAAACATTTCACTCTAAACTGAAAGTTTCGCCAGGTCACAGAGACTTTCAAATTCTATCTGTGTGCCTGAATGCTTCTGCAATTTTATTTGGTGATCCTATTTTCTACTTCCGGTCCTTTCATGTTTAGGATTAACTCTCCTGCACTGAGCCCTGAAAGATAATGATTTCAGCAGAATAAAGGAAAATTTGTCAATGTATACAAAGAAATAGGAAGAGCTGTGAAAAACTAAGGGCCACACGCACAGACAGCAAGTACTACGTATGAGCTGCTTTAATCACTGCTTCCTTCTGTCCTCACCAGCTGCCCTTCCCCTGCCTAGATATTTAAGGTGTGAAGAAGCAAACACTGCTGACTCATAGTTACTCACTTGTACAATGGTCTGTACTCCAAGGGAAATGGTCTGTACGAAGGGAAACTAGAAATAGCATTCTAGTCTGACACCAAACATCACTGGAGATACAGATATGAATCCAAAAGGAACATGGACCTTACAATAATGCCAGAGAAAGGTTTATCCCAAAAGGTTTCCACACTGAGCTTCTGCACTAAATGACAACCAGCATGCCATAAAAGTACAAGCAAAGATCAAATGCTTTTGCCTTCTAAATACCCAGATTTTTAAAAGGCAACTCTCTCCATGGGGACTTCAAGTCTGCTTTTAAAGGCTGCTGTTATTCCCTGACCATGGGAGCTGTGAGAAGCCAGGCAGCAATGGATTACAGTACACACTATATGCAGTGTGCTTATGACACACACACACACACACACACACACACACACATGCACACACTGTTGACTCAACAACACACAACTGCGTGGGTCCACTTATACATAGATTTTTTTCAATAAATATGTACTACAGTACTACACGACCCAAGGTTGGTTGAGTCCACAGGTGTGGGACCACAGATACAGAGAGCCAACTGGAAAGTTCTATTCTGATTTTCAACTGTGCAGAGGACTGGTTCCCCAACCCCTCCGTTGTTCAAGGGTCACCTGTACAGGGCAAGGCAGAAATTATACAGATGGTAGAATCTCAACAATGAAATACAGAGACATATGTAATCAACAAACAGAAATAAAAATGTTCAGAAAGTATTAAGTATTTAAAGAACAGGTTTTAAAGGACTTGATTATTTCCAGAAAAAAATATTTGAAAAGGGAATGTTTAATATATTCAGAAAGAGATAATAATCGAGGCAACTTGTAAATCTATATCCAATTGGTCACTATGTTTTTAATCCCTATATTTTCAAGCTTTTCGAAATCTGAAAACAAAATGTTCTCATTTTTCAGAGATGTTTCTAAAAAAGGAATCTGTTAATTAGTCTGCCTTAATAAAAGCTGAAATAACAAATATACTTTATACTTTAAACAAGTATACTTTAAACAAGTGACAAATGCTAGCAGGTTTGAGGCCTATTTTTAAAGTATTTTTTAAACACACATGATTATGTGTAATACAAATGAAAGGGGTTCTAAGCAACCTATTCTTCATTTAGAGCAGGGCTTGGACTGTTCCACTGTGACAAACACAAGTGTAAAGCAAGAGAGCTTGCCACCCTGGGGCCAAGTAAAGCCAGTCTGTATGCATCCATTCCTCCCCTTCGACACAAGTCTCTGTAAAGCAGAAGGATTGCTTAAAAAGGCAATTCTGGTCTTGGAATACTCCTGTTTCAAACCCTCTGACTGCTTCTCACTGTTCTTAGGATAGAAAGCACAATTCTCACCCATGCCAGGAGCTCCAGACCCTGCAGGACCCCGCTGATGCCTCGCCCACCCCATCCCTGTCGCCAGCCTCTCCAAATGAGTTCCTAGCTCAGAGTTTTTGCACCATTATCCTCTGCCTAGAAGGCTCCCTCCCCCTGCCCAATCCCTCAAGGTCTACATGACAACCTCCCAGCACAACATTATCTGTTTGTCTCCCTGCCTCAGTGGACAGAAAGTTCCAGAAAGGAGGGCAATTTTCTTTTTTGTTCACCATTACAACCCTGGGATTTACTCATCAATTATTTAGTGCATACTGTTTTCTAAGGTCTGGGTTCATAGCAATGAACAGAAAAGACAGAAACCCTCAACTTCATAGGGTTTACATTCAAGTACAAGAAGACATAAGGTACGTAAAATACAGAAATTACATGGCATGTTATAACGTAGTAATAAGTGCTACAAACAAAAATAAAGCAGGGAAGGGAAATGAGGGATGTCCACCACACTCCACACTACAATAAACTCGACTGTCCTAACGGGACTGCTCAAGGAAGCGTGGAGTGGAGAGTCCTAAAGAAGGTTCACGTACAGAGGGTTCAAGAGTCCAAAAATGCTGGTCTACTTTACTTTAAATAAAACAATTCACTGTCTTAATTCCTTCTAGACCACAAGCCTTAGAGAAAAGTTCTGGTATCATTCATCTTTGTACTGCTAATGTGTGGTTGATCAAAAATACCTGCTCAAAAAAGGAATGAATGAACTCTCCTCTTTCCTCTCAGTGGCCCTGCTTTGCACCAGATCATGGAGCAATGATTCTCAAAAGGGAATAAAAAATTGAAAAATCCACTGAAGTTTAAAAATACATTTTCACTATTGTAATTGCTTTGTTTTTGGCTAATATAATTTGTTTTCATTTCAAAGCAAAATAAAGAAGGTAAGAGATATTGTTATCAAAAGGGGCACATTTTTAAAGACTGAGAAAGAATATTATCTAGAGGTCACGTAGTTAAATCACTCCACCTAAAATAGTGTACGTGCTAGATGTAGCTATCAAGTCAGTTAACATTTTGTAAGTAGAATTTTTATGCATTTTCTATTGCATTCTTTTCAAGTAAAAATTTTCATGTTTGTTTATGAAAGCATGCAAATAATTCCTCTAAAACTGAGGTGGGAGGTACCTTATCCCTCTAGTGAAACAAAGTCAACATCTGTAGTGCAACACTTGGCCCTGGGCTGGGCAAAGAGATTAGGGACATAAAAGGATCTTGCCCACAAGAAGCTTACATTAATTAATTAGTGCAATGCCTTGGGGTGCTATGGAAACAGAGAAGCACTCAGCATGACATTAAAAATTAAGGCAAGCATTCCTGAAATACCTTTTTAAGGATGGGTTAAGGAGCTAAGTCAAAAAAGAAGAAGAAAAGACCTTCAATTCCAGGCAAAAGAAAGAGAGAGCAAAGACAAGGCCATGGTTTTGGGGAGAGGACTGTGGCCAGAGCAGGCCAACCAAAGGTGGCCCAGCCGGCAAGGAGAAGGCAGAAGTGGCAAGGCCCCTGGGCACTTCTTAGTTAGGCAGGGGACAGTCACTGAGGAGTTTTTACAAAGGGCCTAACAATCAGGATATGCCTTTAAAGCAACCTCTCACTACAGTGTGACAAAAATGGTGTGTGTAAATAAAAGAGCATTTTATTTTTATCACACAAATAAATATCACCCTAATTTATCAGTTTTTAAGCCAAAACTTTTGCATATCAGATTTCATAAAGAACATTTTCAGTGAAGACTAAGTCTCACCTCAAGGATTATCAAATTTAAGTTAAATAGGAAATGTCCACCATGTTACAGAATGCACTCTGTGGCCCAGGTCTCACTATAGTAGGGAAGTAGGTCTGACACTAAAGAGGAAACCAGACCATGACAGAAGGCACAAAAGAGGTGGCATCACTCACCTGCAACCCTTCATGATTACACAGGAACCATGACAGCTTCTCCAAAAAAATGATGAAAAAGTTTATAAAGCACTGAAGGAACAAAAGGTTTGGGGTGGGGGAGGTGAGAAGGAAGGAAACATAAGCTGACTTAATCATTTTGCCTGATCATAAGGAAGACATTTACATGTGGGAAAAATAAAGCGCTAGAACATTAGGGAAAAAAATTTCCATGTTGGAAATATCCTCCTCCTTTCAGTAAGAGAACCTAATGGTTATCTACCTTACAATTCCACATTCTAATAAAGAAATTCATTTTCTAATCAAGATAACTCCAGAAGTAGAGTAGCTCCAAAGATACCAACAAGTGCAACAATTAGGAGCAAAAAGTTCAAACTGAACTAAATTAAAATCAGGTCTGGTGAGTTTAACCCTCTCAGAAGGCAGTGCCTCCTTTACTAGGTACTCTAAAATTAGCTCTTACAGAAAAAGGAGAACTCTTTACAGGAATAAAGTTTTACAAAGGAGCATAAGCGACCAAAACCTGTAGCAGTGTCTGTACTTTCCATAAACACAACTTCAGTGCTTGTTTTCTTCTCTACATTACTAAAAGGTTGAGTCAATGGTCTTATAGGAGGAATTACAAGAATATACATGATTTTCTTGCATTTACCAATCGGGAAAAAAAAATCCTTAAATATGAGAGAACCCTGCAAGAGTACAGCATGTGTTATGAAAGCCTATTTGAAACTTTTGCCTTAAACATTAAGACGAAAACAAATGGAATTTAAAGTAATATAGCTACAGAGCTTTTTGCAATCTCAAGGGACAATCATAAAGGAAACACAAGTTACTAAAATTAGAAGACCTAGGTTATAATCCTAGTTATCACTACACAAAGTATGAATTCCAGCAGCAGGACACTGAAATTAACAGTGAAAGGAGTTTGTCAGCCACATGGTTGGTAACATCAACTACAGCTCTATCATTGCAAAAACTTGTAATATTGTTGCAAATCTATGTTAAGTAGTGGGGCTACTTTAAAGCACTGTTCATTGTTATTAACGTTAAAAACATGATGTTCCCACCTTGCACTTAAGTATTTTGGAACTGTTTTATGATATATGAAGACTGCTTCATTAAAAACAAGTGATTAAGTAAAATATTTGTTTCCACAGATTTTAAATACGTATTTGTCTAAACATGTGCTTATCTGTGAAAACCATATTAATATAAGTTCTCCAAATCTCAATTTTTTTTAAAGTGCAATTCCTAGGAAACTTAAATAAAATCAAAATCTTCCCTGAACATGCTGCCATTTAATTTTGGCTACTCTTCAACAAAACACGTTAAAATAAATGCCAAGAAACTTCTGTTCTCATATTATCATCCATTTTCTCTCTGGCTCCTACTCAAATATAGTATAAATCCTTTCTCCAACTACACATTCTGTCCTCAGACCTGCTTTCTCTGCCCAGATACATGTGATAAAGGAAAAAAAAAATCTGTTAATAAATTAAAACTGACACTCACTAAAAGAATATTGAAAACAGTAATAAGGTAAACACCATTTTCAAAATTCTGAATAAGAATCTGAGTAATAAAAAAAGAGAGCAAAAACAGCCAACATCAACATGTTACAAACAGTCCTATGAGGCTGATGTTATTATAATCCTTATAATCCTCCTTTTAGAGATAAGAAAGTGAAGCCCCAGAGGGTAATTTCTAATCAATAAGAAGCCATCTCTCTCTTCACACACCCACTTTTTCACCTTACAAAGGCAACACACATCAACTTTTCAAAATACAGGATGAAATTTATTTCTAACTAAACACAAGTTTCAAAGCGAAGTACACAAATCAAACTTATGGTTGAACAATAAACTTGCTAACCTGATGCCTTTCATAAAGTATTCCACCTTAGCAACTCAAGCAAACTTACATCAAGCGATTTCATAGAGCCTGATTATAAAACTGCCCTTCAGAATATTAAATACAGAGAAAAGTTGACAAGCCACAACCATTTCAACTTCTGTAAATTACCCTGACTGTAAATTAGAGGGAGCCAGGCAGGTGGGGAAGTATGGAAATTGCACACTGCACATATTATGACCTCCAAAGAAATGAACGTCACTCTTCCCCACTGTGGTCTTTGCAAACTACAACACAGAACCTATTTCAAAAGCATTTTAGATACTTAACACAAAACAAGAGACCAGCTAAATGTCATGAGAAAAACTTTAAAAAGAAGAAAATAACTTGTATGCTTACAATATTCAAGTTGATATTATCTTTTTCTAAAAACCCTCACACAACCTGATTTCCCTGAACAGTCCAGGGAACTCTTCCCATTCCTTCAGTTATCCAAAACTTCAAACTTCCACTTAACATTTAGGGCAAGTTACTGTGCAGCCAAAGAGAGGGTCTCAAACGCACAGGATAGCTACCCTACAGATAATCTTCTCAAGTTTCACCTCAGCCTAAATTAAAGACCGTTTTATGTAGAAATGAGGGGGAAGACAAGATGACCTGCACGGAAAGTTGCAATACAAAATTACAGTGAAGTCTGAACAAGTCTTAAGTTTTACGTTCTGATTGGACACGACTGAGAAGCAGGTGGTAAGAGATTCCTGACCTGCCCCTTTCTCGAACACAAGGCGTCTTTAGAATATTTTCTTAATTCTTCCAGAATCTGCCTCTGCTCAAACCTCTCTGAGGAGAGCGGGACCGTCCCAAGCATACCCGGAGCAACAGGATCCTACTTCCTGGTCCGAGTGACCCGGGCCCTCCCCGCCCGGCCGGCCGCGGTCCCGGGCCCGGGCGGAGGGCAGGGCGAGGCCGCCGCAGTGCGGGCCGGACGGCGGTGCTGCCCGTACCCTACCCCTGCCCCGGCCCCCGAGACCTCGGCCCGGCCCTGGCCAGCCCCAGCCCTGCCCGCCGCCCCGGTCCGCACCCAGACCCCTCTGCCCGCGCCCCGGCCCGGCTACACTCGCTGGGCCCTGCCCGGCCGCGTCCTCCGGGAAGATGGCGGCCCATGACAGGCGGGCGCGGCGCGGGTCCGAGGCGGAGGCCGGGCGCGACGCGGCGGGAGCGGAGCAGAGCAGCCCGCCCGCCGCCGCGCTCACCTGTCAGCACCGCCGCCGCCCGGCCGCCGACCGCCGCAGCCCCGGTGCCCGGCAACCGCGCCACACGCGGACGGGCCGTGAGGGAGGGGCGGAAGCAGGGGCGCGGCCGGCCCGGACGAGCGGCGGGGGTCGGCGCGGCGCGGACTGGCGGCGGGGCGGCGGCAACTCTTTCCCGTTTCGGGCCGAAAAATATCTCAACCTCGCGACTCCAGCACCCCAACGCTCCTTCCCGTTCGCATGAGAACACACAGCTCCCGCTTCCGGGCCCCGCCGGAAGTCCCGCCCAGCGCGCTCCCGCGCCCGCGCGCCCGCGTACTCACCGCCTGGTCCGCCGACTGGCGCTCGGCGCCCTTACGTCATGACGGCACGGCGCCCTGATTGGCCTCGCGCAGCGCCGGGCCCGCCCCCTCCTCCTGGCCTCTCGGTGCTCGTGCCCCTCCCGGCGACGCCTGTGATTGGTGGGGGCGCGCACGCAGCCCCACCCCGCGCACGCTCTCCGTACCGCCCCCGCCGCGACCTGGGGAGGAGGTGCTGTCGGCTGGGACCGCGACCCCTGCCCACTTCAGCCGGGCAACGAGACTCCCGACCCCGGCCTCATCCCGGGACCCCGACCCCGTCACCCCGGGATCGCGACCCCCGTCCCCCTCGGCCCAAGACCCCGACCCCTCCCTCCCCTCACCCCGGGACCGGACCCTCCCCGGGGCCGTCTGGCCATCCGGGTGGTCGGGTCAGGAGAGCCCCCTGAGCGCGCCCGGGAAAAGGGAGAAGGCGGAGTCGCCTGTCCGTGGAGCGGGTGCCCTGGGCCGCTCGTCGGCCAACTCCGTTCTCCGCGGTTTCAGGGGAAATGCTGAAGACTCGGGATGTCTTCCCAAACCCGAGCATGTGCCACCCACCCGACCCATTCTATGGGGAGGAAAAACAAAAGTAAAGTATGTTCACCGGCTTTAAGCTTGCTGCCTGATTTCCTGTGTGCCTGCTCCGCTTGGCTGTTGATTATGTAGACATACATGTGACCTGGAAAGGCTTCTCTGGGTCACTGTGTCCAGCCTTATCCGTGCACCGGTGCTTCTTACCTGTTCCTTCTGCGGGTCCGAACGCCGACAGGATGCGCTCTGGACTTCCGTGTATTGACTGGGAAGATCACATCGGTGCTGGGCGCCTTCTGCTTTGGCATACGTTGTAACATCCTCGCTCTAAAAAACTTGGAAGTTCAATAATGCTATTCATAGCAATGTCTTTAAAGATAATCACGTAAGACTGAGATTTCCTGTAATATTCAAAGCAAGTACATATTTCTGGAAAAAAAGTCGCGTTTAGAGTTCACTTTCCAAGAGAACGTGTTGGATATGTTGCAGAGCCCTTCTCAGGTACCTCCGCTTGGAACGTTTTAGACTGAGGCCCAGGAAGTCATCCCTAGGCCGGGCCCAGTGATGTGGTCCACCTCTGAAAGGTCAGGAATTCTCCGAAGTTATTAGGTTAGATTAACATCTTTTTTGCTTGTGTTTACATTCTGGCAGACTTTTTGATATACAGATAAGTTCCCATATTACAAAAGAGACTAAATGATATGAGAATAGTTTATATTGAAATGACATCTCTCACTTTCTATTTGTGTTGGGTGATCCTTCCTAAACAATCAAAACTGGCTTTTTATTCCTGTGTGATTTTTTTTTAACCTGTGCTTCAAAAGAAGCACCCATTTTCACCTTGGGATGTGAGATTATAACAAAATGAATTCTTATGGCATTTCTACTTAGAAAAATAAGATCAATTTTTAACAACCACTTCTCATCTCAAGCAGTTACAAGTCCTACCTATTCTATCTAAAAGCTTTCCTTCTCCTGCTTATGCTGGATTTGCCTGCTGTTACTTCTCTCCCAGTTTGTTTCAGTAGCATCACAGCTGGTCTCTGCCTCCCCACCTTTCACCATGCCAGCTTACATTTCCTTTAAAAGCCTCCTCACCACCCCACTCTGAGTCAAGACTTGTTGAAGTCCAAGTTGTTTTTCATGGACTAGCAGGCCCTTCACAAACTGGCTCACGGGCCTCTCACATCTCCTTTCCTGCCCCAGGGTTAGACAACCTAACCTTCCAATCACATTCTCTTAACATGCATTTTTGAAGACCTTGGGGTAGTCTCTGGGTGTGGATGTGAATGACACACAGGCTTTACACTCTATGACCCTACTGTTTACTGAAAGGCCAATCAACTGGCAGTCACCACAGATAATTCCTGTTAGAGAACAAAACAGAGAGAAGCATTGGTTCCCAAATGTTTGCTGCGCATGAAGTTGTGTGTGGAGTGTCTTCGTTTCTGAACACTTTGGTCCTCTAGTGTCCTTCATCTGTGCTCTTCCTTCTGCCAGAAGGGTCATCCTCTGCTTCCACTTCTGGCAAAATCTGGCTTATTTTTCCAGTTACAGCTCAAGTGTCAGCCATTTATATCTTTTCCTTTCAGACAATCGGTTTCCCTTCTGGGTACTCGTAGCACTCACCAAGTCCCTGCTCCGCTTTAGGGGCGGTGCTAAGTGCTGGGGAGATGGCACAGAGCAGTACCGACCAAAAGACAGGTGAACAGGTAGTGGGGGATAAAGAGGAGTAAGGTTTGCTATGGAGTGTGTGCAGATTGCCCAGGTAGCAAGCACATGGGAGGGTCTGAAGCCAGCTTGGGAAGGAATCAAAGAAAGAGATGACCGAGCCAAGGCCAAAGACACCAGAGTGGAGGGGCTGCCAACACACCTTCCAGCAGGGAGGGAGAGGCCAGTCCTGGTCAGAGAAGGAAGTATTTGAACATGACAGATCATAAAACCAATGTGGTAAGGTGAGTGGAGGGCATGAGAGCCTGGAGGGGTAAGCAAGGCAAGAATCCCAAAGGTCTTCCGAGCACTTATGATGTTTGAATTCGATAGTGAGTCAAGATTTGTATTAGAAAGTAAGAGAGGGCTCATAAAAGGTATTAAGCTCATAGAGAATCTCTGGCCCCCAAAAGCCATCCAAATAGAAATGCAATAAAGAACTAACTTAGTCAAATTAGGTGGAAGTATCAAAATGAAAATGACAGTAATACATGAGAATACATTGGAAAATAAAAGAATCCATGAGTTCTTACTAAATATAAACAAATGTGTGAGTAAAAAAAAATAATAGAGATGAGGAAGGAAAAGGGAAAGCTATTCTTTACAGTAGAAGGCTGACTAATGAATGAGAAAGAATTGTTTTTTAAATTACTATGTGGCAACTATCGTAGCATTTATTCTGGCAAGGGTCATCAATGTATGCTAAAAATCATTGGATAAAAGTTGTGAATGCTGTTTCATAGCTTATTAATTGCTTATTGCTTATTAATTTCAAAGAGGGGAAAGGTATTTTTACAGTGGATAAATATGGTGGACCCCATCTTAACTGAGAGGTGAAAGTTGGTATCCCCAATAATGGTGGCCTGCTGACATCACGTGATGTCAGTTATGTCGTGTTCCTGTCAAGCCACAAACTAACCATGAGGAATAATCACAACCTGAGGACGTTCTACAAAAACTCTCACTCTTCAAAAACCCGTACTCTTCAAAACTATCAAGGCTTGGGAATTCCCTGGTGGTCCAGTGGTTAGGACTTGGCACTTTGACTGCTGAGGGCCTGGGTTCTATCCCTGGTTGAGGAACTAAGATCTCACAAGCTTCACGGCATGGCCATAAAAGACAGTGAAAGGTTAAGGAACTTTTCCAGATTTAAGGAGACTAAGGAGACATGACAACTAAATGCAATATGTAATCCTAGACTAGATTCTTGATTGGAGTAAAATTTGCTATACGGGTCATTATTAGAATTTCAATATGGACTCTATTCCAGTCTTATAATCAAGGTTAAATTTCCCAAATTGGATTTATTTATAAATTGTTTTATGGCTCTGTAAGAAAATGTCTTTGATCTTAGAAGATATAAACTGAAGTATTTAGAGGTGAGGGATCAAGATATCTGCAAGTTTCTTTCAAATAGTTTAGTGAAATACACACACACATACTTATACAGGAAGAGAATATAACAGAACATTAATCGGTAAATCTAGGTGTGGGATATGTAAGTGTTTGCAACTTGCCTGTAAATATGAAGCTGTTCAAATGGAGAATTATCTTTTAGAGATACATACTGAAGTGTTTATGAATGACATGATATTATGTATGTTTTACATTTGATTCAAAACAACCTAAAGGAAGGTGGTCGGTTGGAATACAGAAGAAATAATGGGACAAGCTGGTGTGTTGAAAATTGTTGAAGCTGGATGATGGATACATGGGGGTTCATGAAACTCTTCTCCCTGCTTTTGTATATGTCTTAAATTCCTCATGATAATAGAAATACAGTGATGAAGCGGAGGGTTTTAATTCATTAGAGATATTCCATGAACATGTATTGCTCAAAAAGCAGTCACAGAGGAGGACTACATTTCCCAGGACACTCCACAGCCTTCCTGCTGGAGGAACAAAGGGGCCAAACCTCTGGGTCTCAAAGCTGAGAGACCAGGACAGGGGGGCAAAGTTGTGTTGGCAGGTGCCAGCCCAGGCGGAGGAGGCCTGAGGGCCTGTAGGGGAGATGCAGTGTTTGCATGAATGTTGGAAACAGGAACCATATCTAGAGAGAGTTTCTGAGAAACTTTTTTGTGTAGTGTGCTTTGTAATACCCCAGGGCTAGTTCCTAGTAAAGACCCTGGCTAGTCCTTCAAGGCTTCTGTAGTTGGATCGTGTTTCCTTCGAAAGCAACTCCTTTCTTGGCGGAGGGTGCTGCCTGGGATGGCAGCTTAAATTTGTACTATTGCTGGCAGATATCTTCTGGGGTAGTTGACCTACATAGTACCTCTGCAATGAGGCAAATGTATTACTCTAGGCCTCAAAAAAGATTGCATTTTCACCATGATTGCTGCCTGCCTGTAGCTCTCATAGAAAGAAGGATGAGTTGATGAGTCATAAGAGACATTTTGGAGAGACTTCCCAGTTTGGATGTTTCAGGCAGAGAACCAGACTTAATAAGCATGTTGTTTTTATTAGATTGAGAAAAATTAACTTCCTGGAGACCTGGCAAAGTGGACATTCTTTTCAGTCCAACATCCATGTACATTCCTCTAATGGGAGGGAAGGTCGATGGCTAGACATCATTGCCTTTCTTCAAAGTTCTAGACTATGCATGGCAACTGCCAAACACTCTCCTGTTTTCTTCCATGCAGTCACTCCTTGCTTTCCTGGCCCCTCTTCTCAAAGCTGGAGTTGGTC